AGCATCTGGCCAAGGATGTACAGCCTACTCCACCAGCAAGCTCTGCTCTCCCCCAGAGCAAGAAAATGCTTTCTCTCTATTGCCTGTGAAAGGGTTGAGCATTGTGGCAGTGGAAATTTCCTAGAGCTTCAAATGGCCATGAAGGGTTCTGCTGCCCTGACTGTGCAGCAGTGTTCTATCTACCAGGCTGGAAATGACTTCAGGAATATCTTTATAGCTAGTGCATAACTTAGAGCATCAAAGACCATGATGCGTACCTTTTACCCTTCCAATCTGTCTTGTCCAGTTAAACCAGAGATTTAAAGTTTCTCAGGACTATAGTTGTCTTTCACTCTGTGCAGAACTGTGCCTCACAAAATGAGTCTTGATCTGTCACATTTAAACACAAAGACAGCACAGCCTCCAAGTCATGAGAAATAATCTAAGTACAAATAAGCACTGAAACATGAGATCTTTGAGAACTCTGAGGTTTGTGTCCACCACACTGGTTAGCTAAAGATTGAAGACTATCTTTCCCCACAGGGCTGAGAAAGGAAAAACTGAGGAGAGTGTGAGGGTTAAGTGTTCTGTTCTTGTCCTATTCTTCAACTTTCCCAGGCATCTACTTATAGCCAGTATTGGAGATCTATTTGGCTAGATAACTTCTAGTCAGATGCAAGGCAGCACTGGTAGAGTGTTTTTCATTTTAAAGCCTTCTTTACTTACAAATTGTAAATGATATTATATATATATTGTAAGTTATAAACCCTATTCAGTCTCAGTTTCTCCTCACAGTGTAACGTGGCTGATAACTCCTCTCTTGTTTTAAGCATGATACAGCCACAAGCTGCATCAGGGCCACTGACCTACACCCAGAAGAAACCCAAACTTTACCAGTCTTGCATGTTTTAATTTGTGTTTAGTCTCCCCTTGCCTATAAGGGCTAAACTGCAAGTAATGCTTAGTGAGGGAAAAGAAAAGAAAGAAAAAAGGACAGAGCAAGTGCACTCTTAAACAACAGACCTTCATACAATATATTCTGTTCATTTTATCCTATCATTTAGATACCAAGGAATGGCAGGACATGTGTGAACTATATTCATTTAAAAACAACAATGTATCTTAAAGAAGAAATTAAATCAAGAGGATAAGAAAAGAGCTCAGGAAAAAAATTAACCCAAAAAGCTGGTAATTACTGTTTCTTCTCCCTTGATTTTTTGGATATTTTTTCCTCTACTCAACTGTATGACTTTTTCTACATGACATGATACTGGTACGGTAATGCCTGATGAAGCAAGAAATTTTGAAGGCAACTTCTGTTCCATACAATGAGGAATTACTGAATTTTCCCCTTTTTTGTCAGGTATAATGCATTGGTATCAGTACAGTTGTGGGAACTACAGTATTACATGAATTAACTACATGAATAACTCTTGTCATTTATTTTGATAGGACTTTGACAAGAAAATAATTTAATTCCATTAAATTGTCACGCTATTTAATTATTATTGTGTTATTTCTGTTTCCCAGTTTTCAACTCACGGGACTGTAAATCTTCACTGATGTGCCTTGCGGTGGGTCAGAGGTGACCATCTTGAACATAAGATCCTCCCAAGGAACTACAGTTCACAATTGAAGCCTGCTGGCTCACAGCAGTTAGCTACAAGTTTCAACAGTTCACAAAGGTAATACAGCCTCTTCCTGCAGCAGCTGCAGCAGACAGAAATAACAGACTCATGGCTGAAAGGGAGAAAAAAAGAACTGGGGAACTCTTCCTTTACTTTATGTCACTTCAGGGGCATGCTGCGCACTTGGTGGGGCTGCCAGGAAGCTTACTACAGCACCTTTGCCACTGGTGAGGAATAATCAGTGTTTGGTGTCACAAAGCAGAGTCGAGATCAGCCACAACTGTGGCCAGGGCAGTGAAATGGGAGGGTGAAGCTCTGGATGCCAGCAAGCTGGAAATTTCTCCAGAGTAGGCAAAAAGCTCCCAGTGGCCACAAGCCAATAAACCAGCTCTGTTCCATGTAGTCATACAGCCTCTAGCATAAGGATAGCAAGAACAGCGACACATCTGTTCCTAAATTCCAAAAAACCCCACAGGAGGATGTATAAAGCTCAATTCAGAGGCTAACTACAGGGCCAGGATAAATCGTTGACGATATGAACACTGTCAGTTCAAGAAGCTGAGGACTCTGTAACTTTTTTGTGACATAGTCAATAAAATGATTGCTCTTTTGTACCAGAACTGCAGCCCATCTAGTTCAGCATCCTGCCACTGGGATCCTGCCTTTCAAGTACCTGAAAAAACCCTGCAGCAAGTGTATGTATAAAAGCCAATCTGTTCTTGTCCTCCTCCTACATTTTCTAACACCCAGAAGCTACCCTCTGAATAAAGGAAGAAATTTATTACTCTTCCCAATAAATCTATTAGAATTCATTACAGACTAGTTGATACATCAGTTTGTGTCACCTTTAAACACAACTGAAAAGATGAGAAACAAGATCTTGGCATTTATCAGTCCTTTGTAGTCTTAGCAGTCACTTCACCAGGTGCCTTGAAAGCATTTCAATGCCTCTAAATCACTAAGTAATATTAACTCAACGTTTATAAGTTTTCCAAGTCCTCCTTCTGTTAACTGTACACGGTGACACTTCTACTGATGAGGCCAAATTAGCAACTTCCAAGTTTTAAATAATTAAAGACAGCCACTGCTATCTAAATCTGCTGAGATAATATTAAACCCATGATTTACTGCCAAATTCTCTGAAGTTATACTGTCACAAAGTTATCATGGTATTGAAGGACAGGGCAAAATATACCATCAGATATTAATGATAAACACAGCCAAGATTTAGACCAACATCTTTTGGGGAAAAATATAAATTGTAAAGTGCGTGTCATATGTTTGTATGGTGTTGGATATTGCAGGATGAAAATAATGATATTCTAATTCTTCTTTCCTGAGTGACAGGGATAAAAGCTTTAAGTAAGAATTCACTTCACATGCATCACGAGCCCAACAAGCTGTAAATAAAACAGCTAAGACTTTGCCATTATCTTAAGGGCTGCCAGGCACCAGCCAGATCTTTCAGTCTGTATTTACCTACCTGCACCTCTATATTCTGTGGTGTTTCTTAGAAAAGATCATAGGTCTCCACATGTTTGGGAAACCTACAGCTCTTCATACACAAATGAGCATGTTTCTATAACCTCAGCTATGTAACTGTTTCACTTATTTAGATGAGAACTTTTTCATTCTGTTGCAATTTCTTGCTGTTTTTTGCATGCCGGTCAAAAAATCCCCAGGAATCATTGTTTTGTAATCTATTAAAAAAAGAAAGATAGGAAAGAAAAAAAACAAACCCAAACATAAAATCTGTTTTCCTCTTTTATCCTTTACAAAATTGGCCCAGTAAAATACTTAACAAATATATAACGACTGTAACAGACAAGTACATTTTACTTTCAAGTTTCAATCACTGCTGCAAGTTTGCTTCCAGCCCCAGTCCCCACTGAAGTCCATAATGGTGTTGACATTGACTTCAACAAGGTCACAATTCAATTCTCTGGAGGCCCATGGGTGTTTTCAAGCAGGAAGCATGAAGAAATGCGGGCAGGTATGTGTGTGTTTGTGAGACCAACAGAGAGGCCACACCTCTGTGTTCAAGAAACTATGTACTCCACTGGTTTCTTCAAATACCATGAGGGCTTGGCTGGAAAAGACTGTTGGCAGCGAAAGCCTTCATAAAATGAAGCCTCCAAAGTGTGTAGCAAAACTGGCCTCTTGCAATTAAACTTTCCATTTTATGAAAGAAAGCCATTTTCTGCTAGCAGTTCAGCAAAAAAGTTGTACATAATAATCTCTCAGACAGGACTATCTTCAGATACATGAACATTTGCAATAGACTATGTGGCTGCAGCAAAATGCTGGCTGTCTTTATTATGGAGACCCAGCTCTTCTTCTCAGTAAATTAGTGACCTTTGGTGAAGTGGGATAGCCACTTGAGGGGGGGGGGGGGGGGGGTGTTGCTTTTTCTTACCTTCTCAAATGATGCCAGACACAGGTTAGCTCAGAACACAAGCAGAGCATTGAGTAGGGCAAAACAACATTGAAACTACAGCTTTACAGCCACACGATTCTGACTTTCTGGTTTTCATTGTGCAAGCAAGAGCTTTCCTGTTAGAAGGGGAAATCAGTTGAGAGAGAGAGCATACAGCATAGTAGGGGAGCCCTGCTGTTCCTTGCAGCAAGAACGTCAGAACTGGAAGGAGGAGGTATTAAATGTAATTCCCTGCTGCTCGCTCTCTTAAGGCACAGACAGTTCTCTACTGGAGGCCTGCTGGCTGCAATCAAAGGTGGCCCTAGGAGACCTTCTCCACCATAAAGCCATAAGCAGCAACAGCAGACTATAAAGTTCTTAATTCGATTTAAGCACAATCCTGGAAGTCTTAAGCAAAGGAGAATCCTCAGATCTGGTACTTCTGAGTGAGGCTCTGATTGCCCAGAATCATGGAATGGGTTGGGTTGGAAAGGCCCTTAAAGCTCATCCAGTTCCAACCTCCGGCCTCAGGCAGGGACACCTTTCCCTGGGCCGGGTTGCTCAAAACCCCATCCAGCCTGGCCTTGAACACTGCCAGGGATGGGGCAGCCCCAGCTTCCATCCCTGGCAGTGTCTCCAGGGATTTCACAGAATCCCAGGATGGCTGAGGTGGAAAGGGACCTCTGAGGGCAGCTGGTCCAGCCCCTGCTCAAGGGCTGGTGCCCAGGGCCATGACCACCTGGCACTGAGATTCCCTGGGCAACCCATGCTAGCGCTCTGTCACTTTCAAAGGAAAAAGGGCGTCCCGACACTCAGGAAGACGCTCCCGTGCCGCAGCTTGTGCCCGCGGCAGCGGGTCCCATCCTGGGCTCCACCAAGAGCACCCTGAGCTGCCCGCTGCCCTCCCCACAGCCCCGGGCCAGCCGCCCGTCCCCTCCCGGCCTCCCGCGCACCCACCCCGCCGGAACCCGCGTTACCTCAGCGGCGGAGGGCGGCGGGAGGCTCGGGACCCGCACAGCAGCGGCCGCTGGCCCGCGGGGTTCCGCCTGGCAACCGCGGCTCCCCGGGGAGGAGCCCCGCTGCCGAGCCGGGCCGGGCCGGGCCGGGCCGTTCCCCCTGCCCCGCGGCCATGTCCATCCGCCCCCCGGCCCTCTCCTCCCCTCAGGACGCGTCTGGAAGGCGCTCGCCCCTCGGCAGCAGCGGCGCCGATGGGGCATTTTGGGGTCTCTTCAAGTGGCTCCTGTTTATGGCTCTCCCACCTTAGAGCCCAGCCTGGGTCTCGGCAGCAAAGCCTAGTGAAGCATGCATGGGATGCAGCCAGGGAGCCAGCCCACCACCCCCAGCGCCTTCAGTAGCCAAGGGTGAGTGATAAAACGTGTTAGCTCATCACATTAAATGCTCAGAATCACATTAAATGCCTAGATAATGTTAAACGTGAAGCTAATATTAAGCATGAAGCTGGGGCTGCAAGCGCCACACGCGCCAGGCTGCAGGCAGGCGCCTCCACCAAGGGCCTGAGGGAGAGGAAGCACTGAAGGGATCAGGACAATGCTGTCTGACCTGTTCAAATGTGTTACAGAAAATAAGATCTTGGAAGCAGTAATGCGTCCCACACATTTAATGTTTAGAGTGGTAAAGAGCTGGCAGAGAAACATAGAATCATAGAATGGTTTGGGTTGGAAAGGTCCTGAAGATCATCTAGTTCCAACCCCCTGCCGTGGGCCGGGACACCTCACACTAACGTGTTTCTGTGCGGTCAATAACACACTATTGAGATGATCAATTGAAGCATACATACCAGTCATAAAACTTGTGTTTTAGCAATATCCACTTTTTAGCGTTATCTTAGAAACAAGCATTGTTGTAGGAGCTCATTAGCTTTTTGAGGACCTGAAGGGTTTGTTCTCGCTTTCCTTGGTAGATTCAGTTCACATTAAACTCAAAAGAACCAGCGGACAGCTTAGGGCACACACATTCCACCACCCATTAAGTGACCAAAGGATAAGTTAGGCTTTATGTGAGCACTGCCCTGATACTCTCTGTAGTTCTGTGAAGATATGTTTATCCAGACTTCCATGTCTTCTGCCTTTCAGATTATGCAGCTCCAAGAGGAGCTGTTAAGAGGGGAACACCAGCTGCAATATCAGGCAGAAAGGTGAAGCAACTGCACAACTGAGCAGGAATGCTTTAGTTCAATGCTAGTTATTGTATACTCTTGTTCATTGTGTCTTAGCCATGCCAAAGGAACAACTTCGGTTTAGCTGGTGAGTTTCACCTGCTGTAGAGCAAGAGATGAGGAAAGGCATTCTGAGTAAAACACACTGATCATTGGTGCTCCTTGTGTGTAGTTAAAACAGATGTAAACATCAATGCCATGCACTAGAAAATAATGTAAGTTGCAGAACACAAGTTGTAGCATTGTCTTGCAGTGAGTTTTAAGTATAGAGAGCGACATGGTTGTTCCAGAGTCATCCTGGTGACATCTCAAGTCCACCTTGAACCTATGTGGGCATATAGGGCAAGAATATACCTAGAATCAAGCAACACTTAGAGAGGAGGGAGATTAAACTTCGAGCTTTAGAAAATTGTGTTTAACATTTCCAACCACTTCAAAATAAAATGTCCCCAGGTGGCAAGTGGAAGACAAACTTTCTTCCCTTAAAACTCTTTAAGCTTAAAGCAGGCAACTAAACATTTTAATCTTCTAGCTTCATGTCTTCTCGCAGATCACTACGGGTGACAAATGTTCTGAAGGGCAATCTGTGCTTTAAATTTCCTTTTAAAAAACCTAGGCAGTTCATTTGCATACAGATAACTGACTAGTCCTTTAATTTTCTCATAGTTCTGTTGATGATAGACAAGAGTTATAGCTCGTACTCCCTCAGTTATGTTGGTGTAGCAAGAATAACAAGTAACTTAAAAAAAAAGGTGTTTTTGTTACTGAAGTCAGCACACCCATGTCTGAGTTCACACAGGGAACAGCTGTACCAAGTAAGAAGATACGTTTATACACAGTCACTATTTGGGGATGAACTGTGCTTCAGAGAAAGTTGCGTAGATCATAAGCCTGCAAGCAAGAAAAGTTGCTCTTAATGTGCTGATTCTTTTTAGAACCAAGGCAAGGCTTTTATCATCCTTTTAACAACCACTTTTCTCCTATCAGTCATTATTTTCGTTGAAGAGAAGGAACAACTAAACAAACACCTTATTCAGAAGATGTAGAGCTGTTTTGAAGAGCTTCCTTTACAAATGCTCCTCTTGGAACCCAGTCTCTCATGTAAAGTGGATCTCTTGTCTGAACCATCCTTCTCTGTGAACAGGTAAGTTCTGATGCTTTTATTGCCTTTTAATGTAGTGGGCAGGTTTCTAGCTTGTATTTAATCAACACATTTTATGCTGGCACTCTTGAAAGAAAAAAAAGGTTTGTTGAAAGCAAACTGATAAATCCAGAATGATGAAGAATAAGCAAGAGATAAAAGAGGTCAAGCAGAAAATAGCTGGTTTTTCTTGTAACAACAGAAAACATTGTCTGCTGTTCTTTCTCCCCTTGCTTTCCTTACCCTTATCAGTTTCTTTTCATACTGGCCGTGATAGAGTTTTGCTTAGTCTTGTTTAACTCAATAGCAAAATGTTTTTTAAGACCTTATTCTGCAGGAATAAGGCAACATCAATCTTAATGCATATGCAGCTTCTGATTTGATATGTATTTGAGCAGTATTAGTCTCATACCTGAAGAGAGAAATAGACCTTTTTCAAAGTGATTTGATCCAAGTTGTTTGCAGTGTTTGGGTTTGCAAATGTTGTCCAAGATTAAGCAACTTTTTCATTTCAACTCTCAAGTGGGAATAAAGAGCTTTGAACTTTAAACTTGATTATTGTGTCGTTTCAGTTATGTTGTTATTTTCACTTTTGCTTATACAACTTGGTCAGAAGACAACATGTGAAGAAGCAACAATAAATATCTGTTTCTGTAGCCTTTACTTCAGTGACTAATAGCGCTGAGTTTATGGGGCTGCTACTTCTACAGGGACCACAGTGATGAGAAGTTATTTGGCTCTTAAAGATTTAGTTTGTTAGTAAAATACAGGGAAGATGTATAAAAATTCAGTGTTGTTGGACTTTTCAAGAGGCACAGCAACTAAACAAACAGCTGAATGATCTAGCAGCAGCAGGAGACCTGCTAATGCAAATACTTAGTGGAGTGACTCATGAAAAACAAGCTGAAAGAAAAACATTAACCAGCTTGCCCTTTCTTCCTCTCCTAACCCTTCTCCCTCCTTTCTCCTTCTCTTCTCCCTTACCTCTTTTCCTCCCTTTCTCCCTTCCTTCCCCTACTTCCCTTTCCACCCCTCCTTTATCCAGATCAACAGCAGGGAATTTTTCTCTACTTGCATATGGTACATCCAGAAGAATTGGTACAGGAGGCAAAAGTGAGATGCCATTCCATTTTAAAACCCAAACCAATCTATGACATTCTCCCTCTTGCTGGATCACTGAAAGGAAAGAGGTCTAAAGAGCTTCTCTAGCTGTCTTACTGTATTTTTAGTCACCATCTTGGTGTATAGGGCTCATCCAACCATGGCAGACGATGCTGGAGCGAAAACAAAGAAAGACTTCAATGTAGTTGTGCTGCAAAACCTCCTTAGAAGCTTTAGAGCCTATTTTTCACAAGTATAAATATCAGAAATAAGTGAATACTCCCAGCCTTCAGCCATCTGCGTGTATGTGTGGGATTTTTGTACAGATACATATTACCCTTTGGCCCTCTGCTTTCTCTCTCTGGGTGTCTTTCCATGGATATTGTTATTGGATAGTGTACCATCATGTGTTTGGAGTTATCTCTGCAGTTTTATGTGGCTTTGTTATTCTAAATTTTCTTTCCAGAAAGCTTCAGTCTCATGAGTTTAACCAACATATCTCTTTCACTGTAACGTGGTTGCATTAGCAAAGGATCCCATTTGAATCAATGTGAGATTCAAAGTATTAGGTGAAGGCTACCATAATATAGGAATTGAAAAGTATTATTATGTGTGGTTCCCACATACAGCTATCACTTAGGGAGGAAAACTGTCTCTTAAAGGGCTCTCTAAAGCACAAGTTTTACTTCTTTAGAGAACATACCACCTGCCAATGCTTATACTACCCTGCAAACATGAATGGAGATGGTGCACCTTGTGAGTTCCAGTACACCATAAAGACCGAGGAATTAAGATGCTGCTGAGATTATTTCCATCATCTTCTTTTTCATATGCAATGTAAAAATCTGCATTCTCACTCATAACCAAGCTAAACTGATGTGTACTTCTAAATGTACTTGCATATGCTCATTTATCTCCAGAGTACATCTTAATGGCACAGTTATGAGTTACTCTTATTGTTGCTGAAATTTTGCAAGTAAAATCTATCCTTTCTCATCTAATATATAAATAGCCTAATTTGATTCTTGGAAACCTTTAATTTCTGGCTGTAATAAACTGGTAGAGGAACATGTTTCTAAAATACATGTTTCCAGCCACTGGAAGGAAGTGTATCTTACTAATATCTTTATCATTAATTTGCAGTAATGATCCAGAAACTCAAACCAGCAGGAAGGATAAAAATATAGAGGCAAGCCTTAAATAGCTTGTTGACAGAGAAGCGTTAGAAATAAATTTAACCTCAAGCCCAGCTACAATGACCACTTGCCACTCAGTTTTTATACTGTTTTATCGTGCATCTTGTAGAGCATTGCTCCTTGATCCTTTTTGAGAAACTGCATGACTGAATGCAACCCCTAGGGGAAGGCAAGCTTTGTGAGCTGGTGCAAGAAGTCTGTTCTGTAGCCATGTTTGAGGGTATACCACCAGTGCCTTTACTCTTGACACAGACTTTGTCAGCAGGGCTGGTTGATTCTGCAAGTCCTGACATCATGAAGCTAATTAGCCATTACAGTTACACAGCGCCTCAGCCTGGATGAACCCATTCACCAGTCATATGGAGCACTGATTTAGTCTCTGCAGTGGTGCTCCAGACACATTTCAGTTTGATAAATGGGATTATCCTTAGGCCCTTTGTCAAGTTGGGTTTGAAGTGGAGGATTTGACACCACCTTTAACACCT